TTGGCCATCTAAATTGTGAGGACCACTGACCCTTTTGGCCATCTAAATTGTGAGGACCACTGACCCTTTTGGCCATCTAAATTGTGAGGACCACTGACCCTCTAATCAACTACATTGTGAGGACCACTGACCCTCTAATCAACTACATTGTGAGGACCACTGACTCTCCAATTAAAATTGTGAGGACCACTGATCCTCTAATTAAAATCGTGAGGACCACTGACCCTCTAATTAAAATTGTGAGGACCACTGACCTCGGGTCAACTAAATTGTGAGGACCAGAGGAACTACTGACGTCTTACTCATTTAAATTGTGAGGACAACTGACCCTCTAATTAAAATTGTGAGGACAACTGACCCTCTAATTAAAATTGTGAGGACAACTGACCCTCTAATTAAAATCGTGAGGACAACTGACCCTCTTATTAAAATCGTGAGGACCACTGACCCTCTAATTAAAATCGTGAGGACCACTGACCCTCTAATTAAAATTGTGAGGACCACTGGCGCTCTTAACAAAATTATCCTCCCTTTTCAAACAACATTTCCCTTTATCCCACCAGGATATACTGGGTCAATCCTAGGCTTGTCACAGGCCAGGATGTCTTAACAACCAGCCCTGCCATGTAAACCATAATGAATTTAGATGCTCTCCCCTGTCTCTGCTCGCTGCTTCCCTCCCTTCCTTGCTCTTTCTATGATGTTCAACATGTATAATTAACCCTTAGATAACAAGACAAAGGCAGACGGGAAATATGCGCAACAGAAAACTGCACAACGGAAAACTGCGTACCTAAAAGTACACAGTGGCATGTTTGTTACCTTAAGTCGCGCATTTATAGACATTAACAAAGAGTGACTACATGTAGGCCTACATTGTAGTATAATAAAAAATATTTCCTCGAAATATGGCAAAATTGAAGTGTATTAGTATAATTAGTTTGTATTTGTGATTTTTTTTCAGTTTGCGCAGTTTTTTTTGCGCATTTTGACGATTGCGCATTTATCTGGGAACCAACTACTGTAGGATGGTTTATTTAAATCTTTAAAACACAAGATTGTTTTTACTTTTAAATAAAAAGTTCAGATCAAACGAGGGTTTGTTTTTCTTGCAATTAATTGATTAAAATGTGAAGACATAATTTTATTGTTTATTCGCTACTTTTCTAGATTATGATTTGACCAACCATAAAACCGAGGTTTTTTTTAAGCCCAATGCTGGCTTACGTAATATTTTTAAATAAACAAGACATTGAATTGCCTGTTCAAATGTTTTCAAATCATCATTAACTAAACGAATCGAATTATTAACATGTAAACTAGTAAGGACATGTAAATGATAATTCCATTAGTTTAAATATGTAAAGTATTTAAATTATAAATAAATAACTCACGTTTTTAAAACTGTTAGGGTCCTGTGGAAGCTATAAATAGAACTACAGCACTCAACAGATCTTGTAACGGATCATGTTTAACTCCTGGTTTTCACGTGTACATGTGGATTATCGTACGACATTTTTACATGTGAAGTCTAAAATCGCATCACGTGACTTACACAATTGGATTGTGATAATTCAAAATGTGTTGAAATTGCGACACTTTAAACGTGGTATAAAAACGTGTTGACATCATTTGACTTGTGTCTCCAGTATTCACCGTGGCCGAAATTGTGTTGGCTGATTTTCAGTCATTACTGAAATCGCTTGATTTGGAGGTGATACTATTCTAAATGACCAGCAACTAAAATCTCTTAATTTGTTGTCATACATTTTACTTAGGCCAACAGCCAAACTTTGGCCTAGTGTCCGAACTCTGATTTTTTGACCATCCAACTTTCGGCCATGGCTGAAGGTAGCAAAGTTATAAAAACACTCAGGTGGGTGATTAACTTTAATTACTTTAATTAAAATCAATCGTAATGACTTTCTTTGACTAACAGGGCAAACATATTTCAAGTTTTAAAAAAAATTATTTCAGGTACGAGAGGTCGATGCAGGAGCTACAACTAAAATTGTTGAGTTTTGAACCAGCAACAAAAACCATTCTTTATCACCACCCAGGCCTACCATATGATGCTTTCGATGTTAACGGTAAAATATCAAACGTTATTAGAGCATTAGGAGGCGGTATTGTCCGCTAAGTTACTACACATTAAGAAATACAAGAAGTGAGAGTTCAAACTCTGTAGGTAATTTAGTCAAGGCTGAGTGGTAATGCTCAGCTACAATCTGAGTCAACTCAGCTCTTGAGGGTACCTGGCTCGAATTGGAGAAAGTAAAAATGTGCTGGTGGGGAAATGCGAACTGTTGAGAACAATCTCTGCTCACAGTCATTACTTTGGCTAACAATAGAACGGTTGTACGAGAATTGGATTTCTGACACGAGACTTGCTTCAATGGTTAGGGTTAGACCAGCGATGGGTGGGGGTCATTGTAAATACGTCTGAATACAATTATATATCGAGCTAACTTATATAAACAGTTTACTTTGATGTATTATAACTTGTTTAATGCTGAATGCACAATTATGGAATTTTATCAACAGTCCAATTATACAATATATATATATATATATATATATATATATATATATATATATATATATATATATATATATATATATATATATATATATATATATATATATATATATATATATATATATATATATATATATATATATAAAGAGAGAGAGAGAGACTCTAATTTGTATTGATCCACCCAATGTAGGTAACCCATCAATCCAGTGCCTACTATTTACCTGCATGATATCCCACTTCAACGCCTTAACAGCACCTGTCAACGATAAGGGTGAGATGAGCTACTTTAATTTAATCGACTGTCTCAAGCACCGTGACCTAACCTTCTTCAGCACCGGCGTGCAGCTGTCTGTGACCAAAGACATGTACGACCAAGACACCTGTCTCAAAGACCTCCTGTGCGAACTCAACCCCTTCGGGAAATCCCGGAAAGGGATCACATTCAAAACGTCTTTGTTTTCCCACAACAAAGATAAACTTCTCGTTTCCGGGTTGGTTACCTACTGCCCTGTAATGATATCTACCCGGAAAAAATGTCCGATTCCGACTGATATAGAAGAATCGTTTCCGGAAAATCAAAAATGGGCGTCATACAACGTAAATTTGTTATCAAAACCCGAGTATGTTTTTACTACAACCGGAAGAGTGACTTATTCACAGATTGACCTACACGGTCACATGTCTTTCCTGTATTACTACGATCACGTGATTGACGCCATAATTCTAGGGCTAAAGACGGGAGATGTTTTTAAACAGCTGAGCGAGGAGGACACGAGGTGTGGTGTGGGGGTGGTAGAGCTGATCCACATGAGGGAGTGTGTCTTGGGTCAAGTCTTGGACATCGCTGTGTGGGAAGGTGCTGGGACATGCTCTGCAAGTTTGAATGAGGTCCGGGATCTGATCTATGGACGTGAGAGTTCTGTAGGTGCCGGAGATTGCAGGGTCTCAGGGAGTAGGAAATACAATGATGATGGTTATTGTATGGACAAACACGAAAACCCAGAGATTATGAAATGTAAGGAAGGTGAAGATTACATTGACAGACTCGGGAACCCAGAAAGTGTGATGTGTGAGGTAGACACGCCCACAAATCTGACCGTACCTGTCATGTGCCTGATTGAAGTTCAAGGCCGAACAGTTTTCCAGGCTAGCCTACAGTTTTATAAACACCAGGCTTGACGATTGTTTTTGTCTTGAACAACTTCAGCTCATATAAAGGACATTCAACTAGCAACCTTACTACACGTAGATCAGCGCGCGACACCAACTTCAGTCAGGAATTAAATAATGGAATTTTTATCAGACTGTTTAATAAAAGTTTCATCCATCGTTTTGCTAAGTTTTTCTTCGATTCCTTCTCTATTTGTTTGCTTTTAAAGTTTTATTATTAAAATAAAACTTGATCGGACACTAGCCCTACCCTCTACTGGCATCAAATCATCTAGTCTCATTACACTAAAATGGTAGCCCTATGATTGTATTGGTCCTACCAATGAAACCCATTACGACTATCTATTGGGAATTCCCCGTATGGCCGTGTGAAAATAATCTGTGTACATTTTAATACAACACCGTATGGCAATGACCTATAGCTAAAAATAGACTTGCTGTTGTTGTTGTTCCCTTACTACCGTGTTGTGATGAGTTGGTCAGTATATACATAAACACCACATTACACACGTGTGTTGTAGACTGATGGTGTGTAGTTGAACACCGGTCAGGTATAATTTGTATACAATTAATAACTCGATGCAATAAAGTCTAAATGTGAAGGTATCGGCCGTTGGTCAGTTGTTATTTGTTTTTAATCACAGTGTACTACACATTCTAAAACATTAAACTAAAATTTCAGTTCGTAGTGATATGCATAACATCAGAAAACATGTAATGCAATCTAATTCTATAGGATTGACCGTTTGTCAGTTGTACTGAGTACACAAACACTGTATAACTAAAGACAATCTTTGTATCAAGTAATGTTTAATGCCTTTATTAAAATTTAAATAATACACATAAAATACACATTGAGCTAAAATGTGTATAATAATTCTACACATCAAAGAATTCTATTCAGCTAATATAAAAGTCATTATCTAATCACAGCGTACATTTGATCACAGTAATTAAAACAATTCATTAAATATCAACCGTCAGTGACTATATCAAACGATAAATTGATAGAATAATGGCGACAACGAATTCAATGTAGTCTGAACTTAACTTAGATTGGAAATGGGAGTCTGTTAGGGGAGGGGTTGTAATAAGGGAAGGTGATGTAATGTTTGACTATGCCGCTAATTCTATAATATAGTCACAAAGTTGATTAACGTAGTTACTGATTTTTTTTCTAGATAAAAAAAACAGTATTGGTTTCTAAAATGCAAACATTTATCTAAATTATCATTGTCAGTAAAATAAAAATTGTCATTGGATTGCATTGGATTTTAGCTTTTGGGTGAAATTAGTAACCTCTAGAGATTTGTAAGTTGATCTAAAGGCTAAAATCAAGTTTTGTTAAAATAAAAATCAGATTTACCTACGGAAATACCTGGGGATCAAATATAAAACTGTAAATATAGAAGTTGTGAGCAGCACAAGGTACACGAGAAACAAAAACTTATCGACTACTTCCGCCACGTAAAACCACCTCCTCTTCCTGATATAAACATTCCCGATGTTATCTTCATCTGTTTGGAGAGTAGGTTGGGCGCTGGGGTTTTGATCAGACTGATCTCCCCTTGACGTCTCGCTGGTAGATTTCCTCAGCTTCATTTCACTTTCGCTTTCACTTTGTGGGTGTGGCGTCTTGTGTGGGTCGTAGCAGCGTTGCTCCGGAAGTGACGATAGTCTTCGCTTGAGCGAGTCGGTCAGACCAGCATCGGATGTCTTCTGCGGCGGTTTAGCCGTTTTGCTTGAGTTGTTTTGGTTTGTAAAAACCAAGTTCGAACTTTTCGAATTTTCGTGCACGGTTTTAGTTTTATTGTTCGCGTGTTGAGTGTCGCTTTCTTTAGAGTTTAAGGACGTTCCTGAGTTGGATGCGTCTAATGCGGTATTTTTCGGCAGTTCAGTGCTTTTCGGTAATCCGGTGTTTTTCGGCTGCCCGTTGGAGTGTGTAGCCAGCGGGCACGAGATTTGGTCGTCACCAAAATAACTGGTGCACACGACCTTGCCGAAGGCGCAGTGACAAAGGGCGAATAACCAAGTGGGTACGTCAGGACACGTGGAGTCGTCTCCCCTTTTTTTAATGTTCATCACAATGGTGGCCATGATCAGGGACACGCAGTTGAAGGTCATGACGATTAGCATAAACACACCTGAGGAAAGATTTGTCTTTAATTAGGGGAATAATTAATTGGTTAAACTATTATTTTAATGTCAGTGCTTAATCAGAATAAAATGTTTTCAACCATTTCAAATTATATCAAATTTCATTTTAAATTAAATACATCCGAAAACTGTATTAGAAATAAAATAAAAATGTTAGAAAGAATAAGTTTAAAAAACACCAAGTCATTGGTATACTTTATTTCACTAAACTCTAGACATTTTGGATTTAAATTTTAAGAGCCCTAATCATAGCTCTAATTCTAAACATACATTTTCTCATTTTCAAGGCATACTTACACTTGTAAGTATGATGATAAATTCATTGAAAATGTGAATTACTATAGAGGTCAACAATGTTGCAATTACATTTATTATTGAACCTAACGAATATCGTATCGAACCTACCAAGTATTGCATTGAACCTACCAAGTATTGTATTGTACCTACCAAATATATTATTGCGCCTACCAAGTATCGTATCGAACCTACCAAGTATCGTATTGAACCTACCAAGTATCGTATCGAACCTACCAAGTATCGTATTGAACCTACCAAGTATCTTATTGAATCTATAAGTATCCTATCGAACATGCCAAGTATCGTATCGAACCTACCAAGTAACGTAATGAACCTACCAAGTATCGTATTGTACCGTATCGAACCTACCAAGTATCGTATCGAACCTACCAAGTATCGGCGTGGCGTTTGTGTCTGGTACATTGTCCGCTATCCGCAGCTGGAGCACGTAAAGGGTCAAGAAGACGGTCAGGCCAATGGCCATCTTCTCCCCCCTGTCGCAGGGCAGCAGGAATGAGGCCAAGGTCAGCACGCACAGCATGATGGTCGGCGCGATGACGATGTAGTCGTAGTACAGCGACTTCCGGTGGAGTTCTATTTTTAGCTCCACCATGGAGTGCTGGCCGTTGCCAGGGCAACAGGTGCTGTCGAGAACACCACGTGATATGGAGACGTTGTTCAAATCGTATCTGAGGGGGAAAAATTAATTACGGAATAGTTCGTTAGAACACAAATATGTACTTGTAAAACAGTTATGAAGCTTTTATTGCTACTTTTTTATGCTACTAACTCTACATCAAGAAACGGCGTGGTCTAGCAGTAGAGAAGAGAGCTAGACTGCTAACCAGAAAGTCTCGAGTTCGAATCCGGGTTCAAATCCGTAGAAAGACCCTGAGTCCATCCAGCTCTGATAGGTACCTATCTCACTGTTGAGGAAACAACTATCCTTTCATATGCCGATGTATCTGAAGCAATTGAACTACTCTGTCTTCCCCCATATGCAGTGTTTCTTCCAGACTTTTTTCTCCGGGGGGGGGGGGGAGGGGGGGGGGGGGGCACTTGATATTTCGGGGGGAGGGGGGGCACTGTTAAAAGTATATATTTTCCATATAAATACCATTTCGTTCAGGGGGTGGGGCGGTAGACATTCTTCGCGGGGGGGGGGGGGGCTCTGCACCCCTGAAAAGATGTCTGGAAGAAACTCTGTCTTGGGCACGATAATCTCTACTCTAGGCCGACTCTAATTCTAAACTCAACCATGATCTTGATGTTTATTGTAACCCTAATCTTGACGATAGCATCAAAACCAGCAGACGATACTGAAAAGTATACCCATGACGTAAGGACGGTTCCAGAACTTACTCGCTGTTCATGACGTAAGAACTTACTCGCTGTTCATGACGTAAGAACTTACTCGCTGTTCATGACGTAAGAACTTACTCGCTGTTCATGACGTAAGAACTTACTCGCTGTTCATGACGTAATGCTCCAGGTCTGGGAGCGAGGAGTCGATGACGATGTCCACTTGTTCGATGTCGTAGACCCAGGAGCCGAACTTGATGACGCACGTCTGCTGGTCGTAAGGGAAGTAGGTCACGTCCACGGAGCAGACACTGGCTACCATCAGGGGCACCATCCATCTGACCGTACCATCGTGCTTGACGCTCACCTTGCTACCGTTGACGCTGACAAAACCATCCATATTGGCACTCGCCCTGGGAGAGAGATAAGTACTCAACTTTATATAATATAAGGGGGTCATCAAAAAATGAGTTTACATTTCTGGGGTGGGAGGGGGCGGATTTTTGTGACGATATGTGCCAAAATTGAGGGTTTTGTGAATTTTAAAAATAATTCTCATTTTAAAGGGGAAGTAATTATTGCTGTCTTAATCAAACTACAATACTTTTCGGTTGTTTCCCTTAGACCGCCTGCGAATTTATTTTTTTATTACTCTGCGTCAAATAAAAATTGCAGTAATTTTAGTAATGCAGGAAACAGGTTATAAAATAAAGAGTTAAAATCACCCTATGTTGTTTAAAATTTTAAAAGAAAATGACGATGTCACGGCATACGTGCCTTACTATCTATTGCATAATTTAAATTTTCTTGTTAGGGGAGTTAATTAATGTTATCTTTAACATCATCAATATTGTTGAGTTACCTTTCTTTGACCGATTTTGTCAGATGTTCAAAAAAAAAAATTAGAAAATTATTTTAATATCAACTAGAAAACATTTAAAAAATCAAAGTTTTTTTTTTTAAAAATGAGGTCTTACGTGTTAAAAATGAAAATGTCAGGTAGCCAAACACTGTCAGCAGGTATCATGATGGCTTTCTGGCCCTGATATTGGTCGGGTGACCATTGTAGCATTTCATCCTTCCATTCCTAGAAATCAGGAAATCAGAATAATCTCGCAATGTGCTAATAGGTGCTACAGGCAGAATTTCTTTCAGGCATCTCACCTACCCCCCTACGCCCCCCCCCCCCCCCACACACACACATACACACACCTTTTCCCACCTCAGACCAAAAAAAAATTTAGAAAATATATACTTTAATCAGTGCCCCCCTCCCCCCCCCCCCCTCCCCCACCCGCTCCCATCCGGAAAAATGGCTGAAAGTAAAAGAAACATTGGCCATTTGTATTAATTAAATGTAACTATTACCACCAACACATGGTTAAACTGTCTAGCCTGGTTAAGTAAATGTGATTTATTACCTCATAGATCCAGACTGAGGTTGTCAAAACTTGGTTCTTCTCATCCTGGTGAGTTCATTCATTAGTAATAAGATTGTTTTGTCAATGACAATTAACTACTTAAAATACATTTAAAAACTAACATACAGAGCTATATTTAATATAAATGGATTATTTAACTTCATGTGCTCAGTGTCTTCTAATAACATTCTAATCTAATCCCTTATAGGTCTGTTTTATGTACACATTTTACCACGAAACGATGCTAAAGTCATTAGCCTGCTACTTTTAAACCAGTGATTCTAAACCTTTTTGCGGGTACGAACTCTACCAGTTTCATAAACGCATTCCTTGAATCCTTCTTAATAGTTATTATAGTCGCACAAAAAAAAATCCGATCGTGAATCGTATGAGTCGGGTTGTGTCGACCTTCACCGAACGCCTGAAACTAACTCACCGAAACCCGGTGAGAACACAGGTTAAGAACCACAGGTTGGTACTGTCTTTAAGATTTATAACAGCCAATGTTTGTGTAACATAATGTCTAACACAAACTTAGAAGTTTACAAATTACTGTCAATCAAACAGGTGACCCACAATGTCTAGAAGTTAACTGTCAATCAAACAAGTGACGTACCAGATCTAGCAGTTGGTTGAGTGACATGGCGAAGGTCACGATGACCGTATGACTGGCATTCTTGACCGGCCTGGCCTCGGCCGTGTACCCGGCAAATAGGTCAAGGTAAAGTCTGTGTTCTGGTCCATCTGTCTGGTGGGTCGCTGGTTGGGGTAAACAAATCAACAGGTAAACAAATATACGTGATGGTAGGTAAACAAAAGATGTCGACATGACAGTAGGTAAACAAATCGACGTGACATTCGGTAAACAAAACAAATTGACATGACAGTAAGTAAACAAATTGACGTGACATTTGGTAAACAAAACAAATCGACATGACAGTAGGTAAACAGTATGATAATATATGAAAATCAGCACATCCCAACGTCAGATATTCATCATTCATTTCTACACATCTTATAGTTAAATCACGCCTCCATGTAAAGTATGAACATATTAACTTAAACTACACATACCTAGCAACAAAACAGCACACCTACATAAGCTAAAAATAAAAACTGCAATCTACAACACGATAGACTCATTAATGTGCCAAATCTTTACACATGCAAGTATCAGGCCTATGTGTTATACAGTTCTTTAAATCATATATTTTCATGTTTGTGCTATATCTGTATCAGGTTATTTCTACTATATACACCTGCTTTTATCTATCACTTAATTTGTTGAAATACTATGTGCTATCTTGATAACATATTCATTTAACCTTGTATAAGGAACGACTCGATAATCTGCGAGCTAGCCGTCCCCAATCAAGTACTCACCTACAGGCCAAGGAAACGCGAGGCCGATCAATACAAGCACACGATACACTGACCTCATCTGTACGGATGTCTGAGTAACTTGATGGTGAGCTGTATCAATGCACGTGCAACCAAACGCACTTAAATATTTTGTTGGTGGTTGTTGTTGCTACAACAACTGGGTTGTAAGTTGTGCGAGTGTAAGTCTACATCAGATGATGTCACGGTGAAGATGTTGTGGAAGTTTAGCTCAGCTCAGTCGGCCATGACAGTTTACATCAGCTGTGTGTGAGTGCTAGCACACGCCTCTCACGTTCACACGACGGGAGGCGGGGGGAGAGGGGAGTACACGGAGGGGAAGCAGAAAGGAAAAGACGGGGTAGGTGGGTAAGAAGGTGGCAAGCTGTCTAGAAAAACTACACTCAAATAAAATTATTTAAATGGAAGATGCTAGGCAAACATGTTTAAAATCTGTGTTTACATTTCAGTTGGCCAACTTGTGGTAAAACTTTGTGTGTGTCGGGTGAGGAGAGGATGAGTACAGGTGAAAGATGTACACGATAAACTGGCAGACGTGCAACCTGTAATTTGAAAGATTTCTCTGGCTCAGAGACAGGTGTAGACTTTAAATACCGTTAACACACCATAGCCAGTTTTATAATTTGTTTATAATTTAACACAGATACTAATTGATTGTTGTACCGTATTTTTCAGATAATGTAAATGCCAAACTCTGAATTCACGATGAATCTGAATCGTGTATACATATAAAGTTTGCCCAAGCTAAAAGTTTACTTTAAAGATATTCCACTTTTCTGTATACAGATCAGAAGTGTAACGGGGGCAGGGCGTGTGGGACCCTCGCGTCTGTCTCCTGCCCTAGGGGCAGAGGCGTAGCGACCCTTCCCGGCGCCCGGGGACAAACTTTCAATTTGGCGCCCCTCTCGGTAGCAAATTTTCTTTTGATTTGCACCCCCCCCCCTCAAACTTTCGATTTGCATCCCCCCTCAAACTATTTATAATACATAATTGTAGCTAAAATGACATTTTAATTTGTTTTTACAACCCATTTTGGCGCCCCCTAAGGTCGGCGCCCGGGGACATATGTACCCGATGCCCCCCCCCCCCCCCATCGCTACGCCTCTGCCTAGGGGTGCCAAACGGCTGGCAAAAAAAATTAAATTGTATTCTTTTTTTAAAAGACCTACTTTAACTTTACAGTTTCAATTGTTTTCTGCAACAACTGTGTGACACCAATAATAAAGGCTGTTACAAGATAGAGACTTGTAAAAAGCGCCACAAACATTTTACAACTGGGCCGAGGAAGGGGGTTCGCTTTTTCTCCAATTTGAATAACTATATATAACTTGGAAGGGGGTGGGGGCTGCCCCGTGCGTCGGTTTGGGTCGCTACGCCTCTGATGCAGACTAAACAATTCTAAAGAATTGGTGCCTGTTTATACCTGCCGAATTAAAGACAATTAGTGTCCGTTTTCTTTTGTACTTAGTCAAATTACGTTTCTTGACCAAAATAATTAACGACACTATTTTATTGAATGTTTTTATTGAATGTTGACTACACGTATGGTATTGATATACAACTTCAAGCGCTTTAGAATACTATTTCGTTTCAAATACTGCTCATTACAATTGAGCATGTTACTGTTTATTAATGAGAATATAATTATATAATTACAATTAATTAATTAGCTCAAGCTTGCAGGTCAGGCGTCGGAGCTGTCGTAAGACACCCGTTTCTTGACGTGCTGTCTGGCTGTCTCATGACCTCTGAGCGTCCCTGTCTTGTCTGTCACGTGGTTCCCGTCCCGCTCCTTCTTGCGAGTAAAAAACAGATGTTCCAGCCCGACTTCCGGCGTCCGGCAGCACGACTTCTTCGTGTCACCCTCGGGGTCGCAGGAAGTGCCACGAGCGGGGGTGCCACGGGCTGGGGTGCCACGGGCGGGGGTGCCACGGGCGGGGGTGCCGGTCCTCGATGGCCGTCTGGAAGTGGGGAACGCCTCTTCCGTGTCGTGTGATGAACGCGCGCATGCGCCTGTGTCATGTGACTCTCGGCCACGCGGGTCATGTGACTCCATGTCGCGCGGGTCTTCTTTCTCCCGCTCACGCAGGTTGCTATAGAAACGTTTGCTCTTGCGCGTGCACAGGAACTGCTGCACGTCACGTGTCATGTTGTCCCCCAGCTGGGACCGTGAGCTCGTGCTCCTCTCAGAGGCTGTCCGGTAATTTCCGGTTTCAGAGCCGGTGCCGTCCCTCTCCGGGCTCGCCCTCGACTCGTAAAACCGGTCCCGGCTCCGACATGTAGGGGAGTTGTGTTGACAGGCACGGTAATCTGAAGTTCTAGAACTCTCCCCACACATTTTACTTTCGTTGTAAACTTCTTTATAGTTTTTTCTTGTGTGATTAGAAAAGTTCTCCCTAACCGAATCATTCTTTGGAATAACGTGTTCGTATAACGGAGGCTGCGTCCTTCTGTCAGCGCACAGCGTGGATTCGTTCCCGAACCTTCTGTGTCTGACGGCCTGGCTGTAACCGTGTCTGCCACCGTCCTCCGGTTCTACGTAGCCGTTCTTGTTTCGGTTCAACATGATGCCCTTATGTGTGCCCTTTTGTGTGCCCTTCTGAGTGCCCTTCTGTAGCTGAGCCTGGCCCTCCTGGTCGGGATCCTGGTTGTTTTTAGAGAAGTCCAGAGTTCCGCCGTCTGCCAGCTCTCCTAGACTCATCCTTTGGGGGTCTGGTGTAGACAGAGGAGGTGGTGTGAGGAGGTGAGGAGAAGGGTGAGGAGGGGAGGAATTGAGAGGATGGGATGTGTTAAAGGGAGGTTGGGGGGGGTAGGAGGAGTGGTGGGGAGGAAAGATGGGGAGGAGGAGGGGAGGAATTGAAGGGTGAAGGGAAGGAGGGGAGGTGTGGAGGTGAGTGGGGAAGTTAAGGGAAAGAAAAGGGAGATTGGGGGAGAGGAGATTCCAGATAGTAAAACAACAAACTTGAACTCTAGATATAAACAAAAAAAATTTTTAAATTAAATAAAGTTTAAACCTATGGTCTAATGATTCAAAGTGGTCGGGTGATAGTTCGCGTAACTTCTAACACGGACGTTTCGAGTTCGACCTAGAAGCAATAGGGCGTTTCTGAGTCCATCTAACTCTGGTGGGTACCTGACTCACTTTAGGGAAAGTAATGTCAACTTGGGATACAACTACACTATCCCTTCATGTGTCGTAGTCACAGAAATAGATGAACTTTACTTCCTCTGCTATATTGACACATCGGGGACGACATGGTAACTTTTAAACGGCAATAATACAAACCTGAAACGAAATGTTGTGAAATAAGCTCATGATGGTCAGTTAAACGGCAACAATACAAAACCTAAAAGAAATGTTGTGTAATAGGCTCGTGTTATAGACTCAGTTAAACCGAGTAAAGATGAAAGCACCACTAGCTGGACTGTTAAAGATAAACCTCAACATTTCTCTCTGAACAATGCCTGATCCCAACACACAGACCGTAAACCTGATTTCTTGAACGTTGGCGCCAGCCGCTTGATTAAAGTCTTGTGATATTTAAACTTGAACATACGTGTCACACTCACCTTTACTAGATCTACTAGATCCCAGTGGCTCTTTACAACATGAGTCTAGTGAAGGAAAGATAACACACGCTAGCATTATTGTTACTTGATTTCAGAGGCGTAGCGACCCTTCCCGGCGCCCGGGGACAAACTTTCAATTTGGTGCTCCCCTCTGGAGCAAATTTTCAATTTGCACCCCCCCCCCCCTCCCAAACTTTCGATTTGCACCCCCCTCAAACTATTTATACTGCAAAAGTGCAGCTAAAATGACATTTTAATTTGTTTTTACAACCCATTTTGGCGCCCCCTAAGGTCGGCGCCCGGGGACATATGTACCCTCCTGCCTCCCCCCCCCCCCCCAACGCTACGCCTCTGTTTGATTTGCAATTAATTAAGATTTTTTTCCCCAAATTTTTAATGTTTACATTGACAACAACGAAAACAGTCTCGAAGCTTTCATTAATTATTTTTTTAATCGTGTGTAATGCCATTAAAATTAATATGGTTATAAAAACTTTGTCGTGAGGTTTTTGTCGAACTTATTTTAATTTAACTAAAGACTAGATGTTTAGTGTTTTTAGTATTTTTGGCAACGAAGCAATTTTTTAAAGCTTGTTTTTGTTAATAAATCAATTATTCAGATCTATATATCAAATATCCCAATAAAATGCACACTACATAATGCAGAACCAATGTGTTCAGAATTGGTAACTTACAAATTATAAGTTAACAAAATATAGTAAACACTTACAAACTGTAAGGCAAATATTCCCTAAAATATAGCACTCAAGCAAGCACACCCGCGCTATACGTTTATTTATATTCATCTATTAAATGCTATACCTTTATAATAAAGTATTATTAACCGACACTTAACCTTATACTTACCTAAAGTATACATTACCCTACATATACCTAAAGTATACCTTATTTATACTCAATTCTTGTATACCTTACGCTTGAACTCACCTGTTCTATACCTTAAAATTGAACTCACCTGTTGTGTACCTAACGCTAGAACTCACCTGTTGTGTACCTAACGCTAGAACTCACCTGTTGTGTACCTTAAACTTGAGCTCACCTGTTGTGTACCTAACGCTAGAACTCACCTGTTGTGTACCTAACGCTAGAACTCACCTGTTGTGTACCTTAAACTTGAGCTCACCTGTTGTATACCTTAAACTTGAGCTCACCTGTTGTATACCTTAAACTTGAACTCACCTGTTGTAAACCTTAAACTTGAGCTCACCTGTTGTATACCTTAAACTTGAACTCACCTGTTGTATACCTTAAACTTGAGCTCACCTGTTGTATACCTTAAACTTGAGCTCACCTGTTGTATACCTTAAACTTGAACTCACCTGTTGTGTACCTAACGCTAGAACTCACCTGTTGTGTACCTAACGCTAGAACTCACCTGTTGTGTACCTTAAACTTGAGCTCACCTGTTGTGTACCTAACGCTAGAACTCACCTGTTGTGTACCTAACGCTAGAACTCACCTGTTGTGTACCTTAAACTTGAGCTCACCTGTTGTATACCTTAAACTTGAGCTCACCTGTTGTATACCTTAAACTTGAACTCACCTGTTGTATACCTTAAACTTGAGCTCACCTGTTGTATACCTTAAACTTGAACTCACCTGTTGTATACCTTAAACTTGAGCTCACCTGTTGTATAGCTTAAACTTGAGCTCACCTGTTGTATACCTTAACCTTGAACTCACCTGTTGTGTACCTAACGCTAGAACTCACCTGTTGTATACCTTAAACTTGAACTCACCTGTTGTATACCTTAAACTTGAGCTCACCTGTTGTATACCTTAAACTTGAACTCACCTGTTGTATACCTTAAACTTGAGCTCACCTGTTGTATACCTTAAACTTGAACTCACCTGTTGTATACCTTAAACTTGAGCTCACCTGTTGTATACCTTAAACTTGAACTCACCTGTTGTATACCTTAAACTTGAGCTCACCTGTTGTATACCTTAAACTTGAACTCACCTGTTGTATATCTTAAACTTGAACTCACCTGTTGTGTACCCTAAACTTGAGCTCACCTGTTGTATACCTTAAACTTGAACTCACCTGTTGTATATCTTAAACTTGAACTCACCTGTTGTGTACCTAACGCTTGAACTTACCTGTTGTATACCTTAAACTTGAGCTCACCTGTTGTATACCTTAAACTTGAACTCACCTGTTGTATAACTTAAACTTGAGCTCACCTGTTGTATACCTTAAACTTGAACTCACCTGTTGTATACCTTAAACTTGAGCTCACCTGTTGTATACCTTACGCTAGAACTCACCTGTTGTATACCTTAAACTTGAGCTCACCTGTTGTGCACCTAACGCTAGAACTCACCTGTTGTGTACCTTACGCTAGAACTCACCTGTTGTATACCTAACGCTAGAACTCACCTGTTGTGTACCTAACGCTAGAACTCACCTGTTGTATACCTTAAACTTGAGCTCACCTGTTGTGTACCTTACGCTAGAACTCACCTGTTGTGTACCTAACGCTAGAACTCACCTGTTGTGTACCTAACGCTTGAACTCACCTGTTGTATACCTTAAACTTGAGCTCACCTGTTGTGTACCTAACGCTAGAACTCACCTGTTGTGTACCTTAAACTTGAGCTCACCTGTTGTATACCTTAAACTTGAGCTCACCTGTTGTGTACCTAACGTTAGAACTCACCTGTTGTATACCTTAAACTTGAGCTCACCTGTTGTGTACCTAACGCTAGAACTCACCTGTTGTATATCTTAAACTTGAGCTCACCTGTTGTGTACCTAACGCTAGAACTCACCTGTTGTGTACCTAACGCTTGAACTCACCTGTTGTATACCTTAAACTTGAGCTCACCTGTTGTATACCTAACGCTAGAACTCACCTGTTGTGTACCTTAAACTTGAGCTCACCTGTTGTATACCTTAAACTTGAGCTCACCTGTTGTGTACCTAACGCTAGAACTCACCTGTTGTATACCTTAAACTTGAGCTCACCTGTTGTGTACCTAACGCTAGAACTCACCTGTTGTGTACCTAACGCTAGAACTCACCTGTTGTGTACCTAACGCTAGAACTCACCTGTTGTGTACCTTAAACTTGAGCTCACCTGTTGTGTACCTAACGCTTGAACTCACCTGTTGTATACCTTAAACTTGAGCTCACCTGTTGTATACCTAACGCTAGAACTCACCTGTTGTGTACCTTAAACTTGAGCTCACCTGTTGTATACCTTAAACTTGAGCTCACCTGTTGTATACCTAACGCTAGAACTCACCTGTTGTATACCTTAAACTTGAGCTCACCTGTTGTGTACCTTAAACTTGAGCTCACCTGTTGTGTACCTTACTCTAGAACTCACCTATTGTGTACCTAACGCTTGAACTCACCTGTTGTATACCTTAAACTTGAGCTCACCAGTTGGATACCTTAAACTTGAGCTCACCTGTTGTATACCTTAAATTTGAGCTCACCTGTTGTATACCTTTCTCCCTCTGATTGGAATTTTCCCCTCAAGCGTTTGATTATTTCAACTGTGGTGATTTAAGAAATTATTAATTCACAGATCTAAGCATAAGCAATTATATTTTATTTATAACACTTTAATTTTAATGCTTGTTTTATGTAAAGTACCACATCTTTAAAAGTGAGTACACTCAACGCCAATAACAGTTCTGCACGTGTGTATGATATAGAGAGGTGACTATTTGTAAATATTAGACTGAAACTCTACTTCATCTACACTACCATGTTTTAGTCTAATGCCGTACTTTTTTTTCTTACAGTAGGTTGCTCTAAATATGAACTCATTCCGTGACTTTACACTTTAGTAACTTTACTTTTTAGTGACTTTACTTTTTTATTGACTAAATTTTTTAATTACTTTACACATTAGTGACTTTAGTCTTTAGCGACTTTACTTTTTTAGTGACTTTACTTATAAATGACTTAACACGTAAGTGGCTTTACTCTCTGTGTAACTCTCCTTATCTATAGCCTCACCAGCTGTCGAGTTGCAGTGAGCTCGGACGGTGCCACTCACTGCGATGTCCGCCTGCCATGGACACAAGTGGGGTTCGAATCCTAGTGGGGAACGTTCAAATGTTTTTTTGCATAATGGTATATATATATATATATATATATATATATATATATATATATATATATATATATATATATATATATATATATATATATATATATATATATATATATTTATATATATATATATATATATATATATATATATATATATTTAAATATATATATATATATATTTAAATATATATATATATATTTAAATATATATATATATATATATATATATATATATATATATATATATATATATATATATATATATATATATATATATTATATATATATATGCTGAGTTAATAGATTTGGTTTCAGACTGGTAGAGGGAATGAAACATAGTTGTAGTCAATTACTTTCAAAAGTAAGATCATTTGTTTGTTAGGTGATTGTTGTTGTTTTTATTTTTTTTTTGTTTTTTTTTCTAACTTACTTGAAGTACAGTTCAATTTGTTGAACTTTTCCAAAAAATTGAGTGATGGTCCTAGTAAAACGAGAAAAAAATGTTAAACGGGTGATTTAGTAACTGTGCAATGTAAACTTGGGCTAAATCGAAAGATGGTACCAAGATTTCACGCCGGATGTTCGCTCTTCTAATTTGTTCCTCACGTGCACCGACAACTTGTGGGTTGGTCCCCTATACCCCCCACCCCCATCCATAGACAAACCACCTTTGCGCCCCTTCCATAAACAGTCTTCTGGTGAGCACCCAACAACTTGTGGAGCACCTGACCAGTTACGAACGAGCCCAACCTACCCGTCTCCTCCACGTCTGCTGAAAGTGTAAGTTTGGTAATCTCTGAGGCGTTGGTACTCTTGCAGCAAGATCTGTGGAGCAAATAGAAACAGGATGTCTTTGGCCGTGTGTGTAACACATGCAGATTGCCATAACCATGACAAAATGACAAAGACAAAATAGAAACTAACACCAACAGGTTGTATGTAACACATGCAGATTGCCATAACCACGACTAAAGGAAAAACTCAAGATACCCTTCTTTAACTTTGTTCTTAATTTAATATTTGTGGGAATTTCTCCAACATAATTTAGTAAGGAGCCGGACGTTTTCCTGAAAGACACTTGCCCGAATGCCGTTTGCCCGAATGCCGATTTTCCGAATGGACACTTGTCCGAATGCGACAAATGCCCGAATGGACACTTGTCCGATTGCGACAAATGCCCGAATGGACACTTGCCCGAATGGACACTTGTCCGAATGCGACAAATGCCCGAATGGACACTTGTCCGAATACGACAAATGCCCGAATGGACACTTACCCGAATGGACACTTGTCCGAATGCGACAAATGCCCGAATGGACACTTGTCCGAATGCGACAAATGCCCGAATGGACACTTGCCCGAATGGACACTTGTCCGAATGCGACAAATGCCCGAATGGACACTTGTCCGAATGCGACAAATGCCCGAATGGACACTTGCCTGAATACGACAAACGACAAATGCCCGAATGCCAGTTGGTTCCGACTTCCGTAGAATTTACCCATACAATCACAACCAGCACTTGTGTGATGTTGCAACAATCACAACCAGCACTTGTTTGATGTTGCAGCTGTCTCTACTAGACGGGTAGCTGTCCCCGACTGCCTGGGATCCGAACCTGGGACTTTTTGTGTTAGCAATCCCGCCTTTTCAAGATAACTTATTTAACAACATACGATTATGAAACCGTGAATTAGGTTTTCGCTCGTCGGAAATTAAACACTACCATGGGTGTGTCCGTATTGTCACGTGCCAGGATTCGAACCACACCAGTTGACACGTTTCCTGGGGCGGCACTACACCGCACAACTGCTAATTTTATTCAACGCACATGTTTGTCAACTGAACATATTATATCATCTGCAATGAACTAATTAAAACCACAGTTCACATAACCTTTAAGGAAAGAAGACGTCGGCCTACCTATACTTGGAGGAAGTGGAATCGTACGCTTCACTTGGTATATCTGTCAGAGTGGTTCTGGCACTTTCTATGACGCCATTTTTTATTGTTCGCTCTTTTACTATTTTGTGGAAGAAAATTAATATGTCACATTTTTTTCAAATATAAACGAGTTGTGTTTACAATCAAAATAGAAGAATCAGTTTAAATGAGTTATTTTGTTAACATTTACAAGCTTTTATTTAGTTCGCAACGTCTCTTTGTTTGTTTGTGGGGTTGTGGCAAATCTTGTAACTCAGTTTTGACCCACTTCTAATGCAGCGATTTTGTTCAAACTTTCCAGATACATTCCACTTTGATCACAATACAAGTCTGTTACTCATGAAATCTTCTACATATTTTAGAAACCCAAGCTTTTATAAAAGAAAGCAAACTAGTTTGTCTTTCTTATTTTCAGTGCATTTAAAAGCTTGCTATTAGAGAAGTTTTTCATATTTGCTTTATCTTAGATACAGGTGGAAACTAAGTTGGAAATACCATGCGTAGGTAGAAGCCTTTATTGCGGTCATATTACTATTTATAGTTATATATTTAAACTTAAACGTACCTAGATTAGTGTGATGAGTTCATGGTTTTAGCACCCAGTAACCGCAACTAAAGCCAGACTTAAGTTTGTACTAGTTCTAAGCAGTGGCGTAGGCAGGGGGGGGTAGACCCCTCGGTATATATATAAAAAGTATGAGGGGGTGCAAATCGAAAGCTTGAGGGGGGGTGCAAATCGAAAGTTTGAGGGGGGGGGGGAGTGCAAATCAAAAGTTTGTCCCTGGGTAAAAATTGGACCCCCCTCCCCCCCTTAAGACGATCCTGGCAACGCCACTGGTTCTAAGGCTTAGATAAAACAAATTTTAAAAATGTGATAGTTACTTGGACAGGTGATGCTGTCACGGTTGAGCCTCTTGAAGCACAGGCACTTCCCTGCTGGGCAGACCCCACACCGCGCTAGGGGGAGGCAGGAGCTCACTCTTGTGCAGCAGGGGTCAGAGGAACTTGAGATACAGGGGTCGCAGGATTTGGGCAAACAGGGGTCACAGGATTTTGGCAAACAAGGATCGCAGTACTTAGGCGAACAGGGATCGCAGTTTTTAGGCGAACATGGGTCACAGTATTTGGATAAACAGGGGTTGCGGTATTTAGGCGAACAGGGGTCGCAGTATTTAGGCGAACATGGGTCACAGTATTTGGATAAACAGGGGTCGCGGTATTTGGGAAAACAGGGGTCACAGTATTTGGATAAACAGGGGTCGCGGTATTTAGGCAAACATGGGTCACAGTATTTGGATAAACAGGGGTCACACGTTTTTTTGGGCAAATAGAGGTCGCAATATTTGGGTAAACAGGGGTCGCAGGGTTTTGGAAAACAGGGGTCGCATGGTTTTGGAAAACAGGGGTCGCATGGTTTTGGAAAACAAGGTTTGCAAGATCTGCGAATACACGGGTCGACGGGTCTGGGGAAACAGGGTTCTATTTTTCTGGGGAAGCAAGGGTAGCATGAGTTCTTGCAGACCCGGGGGTAACTGGAGGGTGGGGACCTGCGGACATACGTCTTGCACGGGCTGCAGCTCCGCAGGCAAGATTTCTTGACCAGTCCTTCCAGCGAGTCGCAGAAGAGAGAGGAGTACTTTTTAGAGAAACACGGGCTGAACTTGCGGCGTGGGCATCGGTAGCACGGGTCGCACGGGTCGCACGGGTCACAGGGGTCGCATGGCGAGCAGGGGTCACAGCACGCCGGAGACAGAGATGGGCGGGTCCTGCGGGTCGGGCTGGAAGATCTGACTCGTCGGGTCCGGCGACAGCACGGGTCGTAGCTAGGTGAGCAGATGCACCGGCATTTGCACTTCCGGCATCGTTTGGGGCTGTAGAGGGGGGGTCGTGGGGAGGAGCTCCGGCACCGTCGCATCCTGTAGGTGTAAGGGGTATGTGGTTAGTGCATCTTGAAGGTGTAAGGGGTAGGTGGTTAGTACATCTTGAAGGTGTAAGGGGTAGGTGGTTAGTACATCGTGTAGGTGTAAGTGGGTAGGTGGTTAGTGCATCGTGCAGGTGTAAGGGGTATGTGGTTAGTGCATCGTGTAGGTATAAGGGGTATGTGGTTAGTGCATCCTGCAAGTGTAAGGGGTAGGTGGTTAGTGCATCGTGTAGGTGTAAGGGGTATGTGGTTAGTGCATCCTGCAGGTATACGGGGTATGTGGTTAGTGCATCCTGCAAGTGTAAGGGGTAGGTGGTTAGTGCATCGTGTAGGTGTAAGGGGTATGTGGTTAGTGCATCGTGTAGGTGTAATGTGGTTAGAGCATCGTGCAGGTGTAAGGGGTATGTGGTTAGTGCATGCTGCAGGTATAAGGGGTATGTGGTTAGTGCATCGTGTAGGTGTAAGGGGAGGTGGTTAGTGCATTGTGTAGGTGTAAGGGCTATGTGGTTAGTGCATGCTGCAGGTATAAGGGGTATGTGGTTAGTGCATCGTGTAGGTGTAAAGGGGTATAAGGTTAGTGCATCGTGTAGGTGTAAGGGGAGGTGGTTAGTGCATCCTGCAGGTGTAAGGGGTATGTGGTTAGTGCACCTGCAGGTGTAAGTGGTATGTGGTTAGAGCATCGTGCAGGTGTAAGGGGTATGTGGTAAGTGCATCGTGCAGGTGTAATGAGTATGTGGTTAGTGCATCCTGCAAGTGTAAGGGGTATGAGGTTAGTGCATCCTGTAGGTGGTATGTGGTTAGTGCATCGTGTAGGTGGTATGTGGTTAGTGCATAGTGTAGGTGTAAGGGGTATGTGGTTAGTGCATCGTGTAGGTGTAAGGGGTATATGGTTAGTGCATCGTGTAGGTGTAAGGGGTATATAGTTAGTGCATCGTGTAGGTGGTATGTGGTTAGTGCATCGTGTAGGTGTAAGGGGTTTGTGGTTAGTGCATCGTGTAGGTGTAAGGGGTATATGGTTAGTGCATCGTGTAGATGTAAGGGGTATATGGTTAGTGCATCGTGTAGGTGTAAGGGGTATATGGTTAGTGCATCGTGTAGATGTAAGGGGTATGTGGTTAGTGCATTCTGTAGGGTGTAATGTGATAAGTGCATCCTGCAGGTGTAATGTGGTTAGTGCATCGTCCAGGTGTAATGTGGTTAGTGCACTGTGCATTATGTGGTTAGTGCATACTGCAGTTGTAAGGGGTATGTGGTTAGTGCATCGTGCAGGTGTTATGTGGTTAGTGCATACTGCAGTTGTAAGGGGTAGATGGTTAGTGCATCGTGCAGGTGCAATTTGGTTAGTGCATCGTGCAGGTGCAATTTGGTTAGTGCATCCTGCAGTTGTAAGGGGTAGGTGGTTAGTGTATCCTGTATGTGTAATGTGGTTAGTGCATTCTTCAGGTGTATGGGGTATGTGGTTAGTGCATCCTGTATGTGTAATGTGGTTAGTGCATCCTTCAGGTGTAAGGGGTATGGGGTTAGTGCATCCTGTAAGTGTAAGGGGTATTTGGTTAGTGCATCCTGTATGTGTGATGGGTAGGTGGTTAGTGCATTTTATGTGCATCCTACATGTGTGATTAGATGACTGTGTAGTTAGTGCACTTCATGTACAACCTTAGCTTAACCCTAACTTCTTCTTGAAGAATATTTTTAATGATTAGTTTCTGTCGGGTTTGTTGTTAATAGATTAAAATTAATATTTGGCTGGCAAGATTTATGGTCCTTTAAAGGGTTAGGATTAAAGATAAAATTGCTCGGATAAGATCCAATGTTTGGTTTAAGCTTAGGGTCGCAGTACTAACAAAACTCTTGTCGAAGTTTAAGTAGTTTTCATCAGGGGGCTGACAATCATGGAAATCAGTTACATGTTTTACGTAATTCACGCTTATTTCCCTTGTAATATTGTTTTAGTTTTTTCTAAACTCCCCATTAATAATTGATCAATATATAACTACAACTAGATCTACCTCATTTACTATACTACTATCGTATAGGACGTTTGACTATCAAGTTATCATCGATGAAAACTCAGCACAAAGTAGATCACCACAAAATAAGATCATGTCTGATGACTTTTCAAACATTTCATCTAGTTAGGTAACTACAGCTTAGCTGACAGCTACTCATAATGTCACCATTCTCTGCTCATGACAGCGAGTATAGGCAGGATATGAACGAGATGTAAGGCCGTGTTTACACATCTTGTCTATAGACTAGTCTGGTCGCTTCCTGTTTAAGTGCGGGATGGTGCGGACTTAAGAATCATGATGCGCATTTAAAGATGATTTGTGTAAGTGCGCATATATTGAACAGGAAGGAATTTGGGAGGGACAGTAAGGAGAAATGTATGCTTGTTATTGGTATGTAGGTCATTTCACTAGTGACTGTATGAGTGGGATGGCGTGGTATATCTGTGTTGAGTGGGGTGGCGTGGTATATCTGTGTTGGGTGGGGTGGCGTGGTATATCTGTGTTGGGTGGGATGGCGTGGTATATCTGTGTTGGGTGGGGTGGCGTGGTATATCTGTGTTGGGTGGGATGGCGTGGTATATCTGTGTTGGGTGGGGTGGCGTGGTATATCTGTGTTGGGTGGGATGGCGTGGTATATCTGTGTTGGGTGGGATGGCGTGGTATATCTGTGTTGGGTGGGATGGCGTGGTATATCTGTGTTGGGTGGGGTGGCGTGGTATATCTGTGTTGGGTGGGATGGCGTGGTGTATCTGTGTTGGGTGGGGTGGCGTGGTATATCTGTGTTGGGTGGGATGGCGTGGTATATCTGTGTTGGGTGGGATGTCCCTGGTATCACTAATCGAAAGTCACGAGTTCGGAGCCCGAATGTCCACCAAACGGCCCCTCATGTCCGAATAAGGTGGTGCGATGCACTTGGGACTAGATATATAAAAAAATAATACACCCTACTAGACGTGTTTTATCAAAGCCGGTCACTCGTATGTCGATGACCATCATCGCCAAAATATTTCATAGAAACCCGATCAGGGACTTAGGATATTTTATGGTGGTTATATTCGATTAACGGATTTAATACACACGCGGATTATCTATCCCCTAATTAGCGTCCATCTTGTCATTACGATTCATCACCAACAATGTTAAACAGCAGCTCACCTGAACGCCCCAGTAATGACTACTACACAGATAACTCCAATTTAATGTTGGATATACAAGTCTTGAAATGAGTTGGTAAAATAACTGTTTTACTTTCAAGTACGGTGTTCATTGAATATAATATTCGAATACTGATTATCTGATAAAATGTAACGAAATGAAAACATATTACTATATATGAAATTGATGAATTGATTTTCACTGTGAAGTGTGAATAATTGGTAATTTTTGTTAACATCTACACTCTGAAGCAATAGTAAGTAAGTAATAATTATCTATAATAATAAGTATCTACATTTCTTCTACTGTGATTCAAGTGGTAATTATTGTAAGTATCTACATTTCTTCCACTGTGATTCAATTGTTAATTATTGTAAGTATCTACATTTCTTCCATTGTGATTCAAGTGGTAATAATTGTAAGTACCTACATTTCTTCCACCATATACCAAGCGGTAATTATTGTAAATATACACATTTTTTGTGAATGTAATGTGCACACACCTAGAGCGCACCTCAGCCACCCTACACCACACTGTGCTTACAGTCACCCACTGTTTGCTGTTTAACGCACTGTTTGCACACTGTGACGTCATACAGGAGTGAATAGGGCCCGGCCAGCATCCATAGGAGGGAGGGGAGGGAGAGGTTGTGAGTTTTGTTGATAGTGGGTGGACGGCATTGCTTGAGGTAGGTAGGACTCCCGATGTGGATCAGGCTGACCACATTGGCAAATAAATGGCCAGATTTCCGAGAAATTGGCTGTTTCGTGTTTTCTCGATTCACTTTAATGAACTGTTGTCACACATTTAAACGTATAGTGGTTTTTTTTTAATGTCACTCTCACACACAAACTCGTATATATATATATATATATATATATATATATATATATATATATATATATATATATGTGTGTGTGTGTGTGTGTGTGTGTGTGTGTATGAGTGTACACATACAATATTGATACAAACTGTAAATCCTATGTAAAACGTATTCTTATTTTCTCTAACATATCATTAATTTGGTTGTCTCTAAGAGTACTCTCCCCCCCCCCCCCTCTTCTGCACAAGAAACCTTCAAAGAGTGTTCCCATCTTTAAAGCGCGGCCTTATGCAGTAGTGTTGACTTTCCTAGTGTAAACTCTCTCTATTCATAAGATGGCTGACAGTTGAGTCTTCTGTCAATAGGTGGAGCCATCATATATTTTGCCGTCATACATACACCTGATTTTACTGTCATACATACACCTGATTTTACTGTCATACATACATCTGATTTTACTGTCATACATACATCTGATTTTACTGTCGTACATACACTTGACTTTACTGTCATACATACACCTGATTTTACTGTCGTACATACACCTGATTTTACTGTCATACATACACCTGATTTTACTGTCATACATACATCTGATTTTACTGTCACACATACACCTGATTTTACTGTCATACATACATCTGATTTTACTGTCATACATACATCTGACTTTACTGTCATACATACATCTGATTTTACTGTCATACATACATCTGACTTTACTGTTATACATACACCTGACTTTACTGTCATACATACACCTGACTTTACTGTGGTACATACATCTGACTTTACTGTCATACATACACCTGATTTTACTGTCATACATACACCTGACTTAACTGTCATACATACATCTGATTTTACTGTTATACATACACCTGATTTTACTGTTATACATACACCTGACTTTACAGTCATACATACATCTGATTTTACTGTCACACATACACCTGATTTTACTGTCATACATACACCTGACTTTACTGTCATACATACACCTGACTTAACTGTCATACATACATCTGATTTTACTGTTATACATACACCTGATTTTACTGTTATACATACACCTGACTTTACAGTCATACATACATCTGATTTTACTGTCACACATACACCTGATTTTACTGTCATACATACACCTGACTTTACTGTCATACATACATCTGATTTTACTGTCATACATACATCTGACGTTACTGTCATACATACACCTGACTTTACTGTCATACATACACCTGACTTTACTGTGGTACATACATCTGACTTTACTGTCATACATACATCTGATTTTATTGTCATATAACTTTCATATATTTAGAAAATCGGCATCTATATATAGAGTATGTTGTTCACCTATAACGCTTTATTGAATAACACTGTACTACCATACAACATTACTATATTTTCTTGATTATCATCTATCTAATTTTATGTATATAGAGTAAGTTGTGCAGGCATGTAAGTTCAAAATACAGACCAACTTGTGCAGCCATATACAATGCAGTCCATATCATTATACAGATTTACTGTATAGATGTAAACAGAGCATCGAGCACATAACATATGTTGTTAGATTTTATTTATAGGCCCTCTATTCTTTCTTTTGTCTAGTTTAATTATGTAGACATAAAACTACAAAATATAAGCAGATATAAAATGTGAAGTGTTGTGTTAGAGGCTGAAGTCACGTAGCTTTATCACTCACGGGAAGCCTACTTCTTCTTCTTCGTTCTTAATTTTTAGTGTTGGGAGGGATCGAGCCTTATCTGCCAGAGGGTTTGAACTCGAGACTTTTTTTTCGAATTTTATCAACCATGAGCTTTGCCGACTCGACCATGCTTCCATCACAATTAAGGATTACATGGCGCCATTGATGCCATTGACTCCGATTTCAGCCTGCTTTTCTTTTTGGATTTGCTTCCATAGCCTTTGTCTAACCAAGAACAAACAACAAGGCAGCAGTTGTTTGATTTTGGTGTCTCTCCTAGAAGAGTGGCTGTCCCCAGCTAACGAGCCTCAACTGCCCGAGGGTTCGAAATCGAGACTTTTCGGTTTAGCAACCATGAGCTTTACCGACTCGACCACGCCGACCAAGCGTACAATTATTGAGTAGTAATTCTACGTGAAGCTTACAAATGTCAAACTTTAAGCTTACACCATTCTATTATCAAACCTGAAGCTTACACTAATGTCAAACTTGAAGCTTACACCATTGTAATATTAAAAGTGAAGCTTGCACTAATGCCAAAATTGAAGCTTACACCATTGTAATATTAAAAGTGAAGCTTGCACTAATGCCAAAATTGAAGCTTACACTAATGTCAAAATTGAAGCTTACACCATTGTAATATTAAAAGTGAAGCTTGCACTAATGTCAAATATGAAGCTTACACTAATGTCAAAATTGAAGCTTACACCATTGTAATATTAAAATTGAAGCTTACATGCCAAAATTGAAGCTTAGACTAATGTCAAAGCTGAAGCTTACACTAATGTCAAACTTGAAGCTTACACCATTGTAATATCAAATGTGGGAATTAGAATATGGAGGTAATGGTAGAATGGGATATGCAGTTTGTTGTGGATTATACAATCCAGGTAACTGTGAATTTGTATCTCTAGGTGAGAATGCGTTAAAATATACATATAGTTAAGGTGTGTGGGGGTTTTATTTTCAAAAAAAAAAGAAAAGACCAAAACTCTTTGGACTGAAAAGGTAAATACGTTCGTGAAATAGATCGTGTGTTCTAAACATTATGGATTATACAATCCAGGTAACTGTGAATTTGTATCTCTAGGTGAGAATGCGTTAAAATATACATATAGTTAAGGTGTGTGGGGGTTTTATTTTCAAAAAAAAAAGAAAAGACCAAAACTCTTTGGACTGAAAAGGTAAATACGTTCGTGAAATAGATCGTGTGTTCTAAACATTATGAAAAGCTGCAGGGTTTCGATTCCCATACCACTCACATGCGAGGCAAGCGATCAATTGCTTCAGCTACAGCCCCCATGAGTTCAGTGCCAAAGCGTATTGATATGACCATACCATTTTTAGCTGGTTACCTAAACCCCTATTAGTTTGTCTTTCCCTTATGTTATTGCTATTAAACTAGCAGATTAGGGATTCCAGTTGCGTGGGTTAGGATATACAGGTTGGAGTGGATTAGGATTTAAAGGTGTATGGGTTAGGATAACACGTATGAGGGGATTAAATATGTTTACGGCTTGGGTGTATTTGGGAAGATAGGGTTGATAAGAAACTTCAGAAAGGCTGTATATGGCATGATATTTGACCCAAGAACTTCAGACAGGCTGTCTATGGCATGATATTTGAAACAAGAACTTCAGAAAGGCTGTCTAAGGCATGACATTTGACACAAGAACCCCAGACAGGATGTATGTAGCATGATATTTGAAACAAGAACTCCAGACAGCCTGTATATGGCATGATATTTGACTCAAGAGACGGTGGATGCCCACAGAGAAGTGAAACCCTACAGGTATCACGGCATTAGAGGAAGAGGTTGTGGTTAACCCATGCTAGCTGATCCCATAGTGAACACATAATTGGTGATCCATCTCTCAACCTCTGCCGATACACATATAGATATCCACAAACACACACACACACACATATATATATATATATATATATATATATATATATATATATATATATATATATATATATATATATATATATATGCCACTTATATTGAACGGTTGGTGGAGGAGGCATGGTTAAGATGTTAGATCACTTGGTTGCTAACCGAAGGCCCTGAGTTCAGCTCACTAATTACTATATAAACTATATGTATATATATACAGACACCTTGATAAACCATAGACGGTAAAGCTTAGTGCTGACCACATACTACCCTCCTAAGTAAAATAAAAACAGATGAACTCTACTGTAACTGTCTTTTAGAATTTGAATTCCAAGCGATTGCACCCCTACGATCAAAAACAGGTTAACTTTACTTCAACTATTCTAAAACACCTTCACGCTTGTATACCAATGCGGTCTGAGTCAACAATTTCAGAAATTGATCTCTAATTCATGTTTACATTATAGGCGGGGCAGAATCAGGTGTGTGTGTGGGGGGGGGGGGGGTGTTAACACCCCACCATATTTCATTAGATACAGAGTACGCCCCTGTACATGTGAAATATTCACACACGTTAATTGAAATGCAAAAACTGGAACATTGATGTAAATTTTAATTTAATTTAATTTAATATAATTTTTAATTTTAATTTAATTTTAAATGATAAATTTTAATTAATCGCCATTTTTTATTTTATTTTACGATCCTGATTTATTGGTTTGAGATTACATCAAGGAAATATCCACAACCCCAGTTTTATTCTACAATAGTCAAATACTTAAATAAAATATTAATTGAACAAAAGCATGGTTTACAGTAGGCCTACACATCGTAGACATTGTAGAGGCGGTAACGGCCGGTGCTATTTACTGTAAATAGAACATCCTTTCTCTCTCAACTGGGCTACATAAATAGGACAAATATAGGCCGCTTTCATCTGCGTTCGATAGTGTTTATGCGTTTCTATGCAACGAGATGCGAATTCAAACAAATAGAATAAAAGATTAAAGTATAAGTCCAGTATTAGTTGAGCAAGATACAAGTGATATGGACTCCACAATTCAATTCCAGTTCAAGAGGTGTGGTCGAGCTCTCTCTCTCTCGAGATAGTAAGTCACGGTGTAAACAGTTCAAAACTTAGTCATATGACTATCTACATCACTAGTCTCTACTCCACTGAGTTCACCAAACTATAGTGAGTACCTGGCGAACAGCCGGTAACTTTGTACTAAAAGTCTATTAATTTGTATTCATGACCACGGAAACTGATGAACTCTACATCACCCATCCCATTTACATGCTTTCAGTTAACTATCTCGTGTGAAATAAAATGAATTCCGAAATTAAATAATATAGCACATTTTGTTCTGTTAAAATAATTTAGTCATTTTAAAAAGTACCCTAGTTCCATGTCTATATGTCTTTAAGTCCTATCTCCCACCGCTCCCCCCCCCCCCCCACCCACACACACACACAAACAATGCAAGGGTCACCCAAGACGGAAGAGGTCACTGGTCTAGGTGGGTGAGCATGAAAAAGTAACTTTAAAAAAACACGGAACTCGTCTAAAACATTTTTTTTTCGTCAAGACGGAACTTACTTAGGCAGTTGCAATATTTGTCTTCAGTAGGTACATGAGCGGTGGAGGGGGGGTGAGTTAAAAACCAGGATTGTTTAACTTAAATGAAGGAACAAAACGATGAAATTTTTCCTAGGAAAACTGTGAGTCAAGCTATCTGCCCCCATAGGTAAGAAAAGATCCGGGTTAGTTGAGCGATGAATCAATACATGATCTATAAGTCGATGAGGAAGATCTCAGATATGGTCAATACACTACCAACACAGCTCCGGGGTAGGAGGAAGTCAGGCTTAAAATAGGCTGGTAGGGTTAGGGTTTGATCTAAAGGTAGGCGTGACGGTGGAGTAGCTTAAAATAGGCTGGTGAGGTTAGGGTTTGATCTAAAGGTAGACGTGACGGTGGAGTAGCTTAAAATAGGTTGGTATGGTTAGGGTTTGGTCTAAAGGTAGACGTGACGAATGGAATGGCTTAACATAGGCTGGTAGGGTTAGGGTTTGATCTAAAGGTAGACGTGACGAATGGAATGGCTTAACATAGGCTGGTAGGATTAGGGTTTGATCTAAAGGTAGACGTAACGAATGGAATGGCTTAAAATAAAATGTACCCGTGCTCGGCTCATAGGCACTCATGGCATCTTTTATAGGGGGGGGGGGGGGGACGGGACATGGTTAATTAGAGACTAAGTCAGATAAATAGTTATTGAAAACATAAGGGCTATATTAGCTAAACGATGTCATATTTCATAACACCTAATTATGACATTAATTTGCACTTTTATTTATTTCAGTTTATCGAAGCAAATCTAATGAACAATTGAATAGTTTTTAAGATATGTTTTGTAGTGGGGGGGGGGGATACGCCACCCCCACCCCATGACCCCTAGTGCGGCCGCCCATGTTCCCCATCCTACTCGTATAACACCTTTGAAGAGCATGACTAAACTACGCAAGCAGCCCTTGTTCAATAAAGCAGAAACGTAGAGTGTTACGTCAAAAAAAGGTACAGGTATGCTTGAGTAATCAATTCTGACGACGGTCATGCAAAGGGAGAGAACCTACCTTTTTTTTTTAAAAAGGGGAGAGAACCTACTCGATAGAAAACCGGCTCCTGTGTAAGTCAATGTTTGGATTTGAATTTGAATGAGTTAAAAGAAATTAGGGATGGGGAAGGGGGTGGAGTAGCGGATACAGGGTTAAGTGGAAAAGAAATTTAGGGATGAGGTGGGGGGGGTGGAGTGGTAGATCTAGGCGTTGTCTTGTTTGTCTAGAACTGAACGTTACATGAAAGAGATATGTCACCATGCTTGACGGTTAGTAAAACAATGACGGGTCTCCCCTGCAGGTACCTGCAGGGTTAAGTGGTGGGGGTGTGGGGGAATGGAGTGGGGTGAAAACGGAAGGCGCGGGTGGGTGGGGGAGCGTAAAGTTTACTCAAATCTTGAGTGGGCCGAAGCGTACTGTCCGAGAGATTTCGTCAAGTGGATTCCAGAACCAGTTCTCGGTTGACCAATAGCCACAGTAGCAGTTGGTCACGTGCGACGTCATCATTCTACCAGCACACCTAAGTTTGAGCTATTTTTAGAAACACAACACGGCGGTGCGGGGTGGATTTCTATTTTTTGTGTTTGATTGTAGGTGCACACCGCAGACTAAAATTAGAATCACAATTAGCTGTATATGTACATGAGAGGGTAGCCTTCACGACATACGAGAATATCAACACCAGCCACTCCGGTGATGGGTTCAAGTTTTTAAGTAACTTTAATTAGTAGCGAAACGTTTTATTTTTCGAGGAAGTGCAAAGATACGAAACAAAAGATTCAATTTGTGGTGTTGGATATTCCTTCAGATTTTTTTTTCGCTCTACGACTTCAATTTTTTTCAGAAAGTTTTTGTGACAAATTTTTGTCAAAAAAGTTTAACAGTTTATAGAACTAAAGGATTAATTACTCGGCTGGATTAGTCACTGGATTAAGTGACAGATTATGACGCGGGTGAGACCACCCGAATCAGAAGTCTCGTAAGTTGTTGTTTTTTTATTTGATTTTTTCGTGTATTTGGTTTGTGTAGTTTAACTTTTTAAACCAAATATAATTAGATAAAAATAAAACATATTTGGTACTTTACAAAACTTTTACTGAATGTTAGGTATTATTAGAAATAATATTAGAAATATCCAAATCTCGACGTTTCACACCTCACTGATACGGAAAAACATAATTTTGCAATCTTGTCCGTATGTCTGTGTGTCTGTCTGTGTGTCTGTCTGAGTGTCTGTCTGTCTGTCCGTGTGTAAACACGATAACTTGAGTACCGTTACAGCTAGGTTGATGAAATTCCATATATAAGTATTTTATCAAAATCGTAGATCCGTATCAACTTTTGAGCGATTTCCGATAACCGGAAGTGGTACTTTTCCTACTTTGAATTTTTCAAAAGCCTATAACTTGAGTACTATTTCAGATAGATAAATGAAATTTCACATATAAGTAAAAGATCTAATTCTCTACCTTCTGTTAAATTTTGAGTAATTTTCGTTGACTGGAAGTAGTACTTTACGCTACTTCCGATTTCTCAAAAAACTAATGTAAATTTTAAAAGTACTAATAATATTGCGCACTATTATACGCTTTTTTATTTGCGTTCACTTGGTGTGCAATTAATTTGTCTACGAGATTTTATTCTATTTTTAAAACTTTAAGTATTTAAAATGGATTAAAAATCATGTCTATAGCCCGAGCTCCCATCCCCTGTTATTTTATATTGAACATTAATATTTCAATTCACACTCGATGATTGTATAAATGAAGCAATTGTACTTGCCTCTAAAGACAATTAACTGTATATGCACCGCTATTTTTCACTGAAGCAAATAGATCTACTCCTATCTTAAAATATCTATGTGATGGTAAACTCAAATCTGCCAAATAATTCACACGTTTTTATTCTAATTGTTCTACACACTGAAATGTTTTCAAACATTAGTCGATGGCCTGTGTATTTAACATTATAAATATATAACATTATTTAAGGAAAATATGAGTGTTTCAAAATTTTAGCGAGCTTTTTAAAAACATGTATTCTTTTTTTTTAGACATTCAAACTAAACACATTTAAAATATAAATGTTTAGTCCTTAAAAGCATTCGAAATTAAATAGCTACAATATTCAAGAAGACACATTTACTCGACATACAAATGCATTATGTTGATCACAATACATAAACACACATTTTTAAAAATTCCATACAGTATTGATGATCTGGCAAAATGCGAAACCATAGCAACAGTGGAAACAAAACCGTCAAAGTTGGATGATCCAGGGAAAAAGCTGAAGAAGGGCGTGACGGAGACTAACCTGGACACGACAGCAGACGTCGACAAGTCGGCCAAACGACCCATCAGCCGACAGCTTGACCTTTCCAAGATGGACGTCAAGAAAATCAAAGAACTCGGGTTTCCGGTCAGACTTCTCTTTGAGGAATTTATAGACAGGTAGGTCATGTCTATGTTATAAACACGTAGGTCATGTCTATGTTATTAAAAGGTAGAGTAGGTCTATATTATAGAGAGGTAGGGCATGTCTATGTTATAGACAGGAAGGTCATGTCTATGTTATAGACAGGTAGGTCATGTCTATGTTATAAACAGGTAGATCAGGTCTATATTATAGAGAGGTGGGATATGTCTGTGTTATAAAGAGGTGGGAAATATCTATGTTATAGAGAGGTAGGTAAGGTATATGTCATAGAGAAGTCATGAATCTGTTAAATACACGTACCTTCAAATACAAAATAAGTAAATTTTCACTCCAGCTTACTGTAGTAGAAATGTTACTCTTTATATGAAACTGATCCCATGGACACTTAAAATGGAATGTCTCCAACAGCTACGATTTGATCTGAGTTGAAACAAAAACAACGACATCAAGATAAATGTACACACAATATCTCTAAACACCAACAACATTACATCTATTTTTTAACTGATAACTGTTGCGAAGTTTTTGATTCCCATCTCTGCTAACCTTTGACCTCCAGATACAAGATGCTGGTGTTCTCGTCATCTGCAGATATTGAGCCCACGGCCGAGCACTGCAGGTTTATCGCCAAGAGAGCCGGGCTCCGGGAGTACGAGATAGGGGAGGACAAGGTTGGTCAGAGTTATATTAAGATACAAGTCAGTCAGAGTTATCTTAAGCTACAGGCTAACTGTATAAGTCATGTATCAATCTCTGGGATGGCGTGGTCGAGCAGTAGCCTGTAATAGACGAGATAGGGGAGGACAAGGTTGGTCAGAGTTTTGTTAAGATACAACAGTGTAAGTTATGTAACAATCTATGGGGTGGTGTGGTCGAGCAGTAGCCTGAAATAGACGAGATAGGGGAGGACAAGGTTGGTCAGAGTTATGTTAAGCTACAGGTTAACTGTATGTTATGTAACGATCTATGGGATGGCGTGGTCTAGTGGTAGCCTGCGATAGAACGAGATAGGGGAGGACAAGGTTGGTCAGAGTTATCTTAAGATACATGTTATGTAACAATCTATGGGATGGCGTGGTCTAGCAGTAGCCTGTAATAGACGAGATAGGGGAGGACAAGGTTGGTCAGAGTTATGTTAAGCTACAAGTTAACAATAAGTTATGTAACAATCTCTGGGACGGCGTGGTCTAGTAGTAGAGCGCTTGACTGTTAGCCTGAAATAGAACGAGATAGGGGAGGACAAGGTTGCTCAGAGTTATGTTAAGCTACAAGTTAACAATAAGTTATGTAACAATCTCTGGGATGACGTGGTCTAGTAGTAGAGCGCTTGACCCTAGCTTGAAAGAGATCGAGATAGGGGAGGACAAAGATGGTCATAGAAAGAAATAAATGGCAATGGTTGTGTTAAGCTACATGTTAGCAGTATAACATAAGTTATGTAACATAAGTTATGTAACATAAGTTATGTACCATAAGTTATGTAACACTCAACAGGACGGTCGAGTGGTAGACAGCTCGACTGTTAACCCGAAGGTCGAGAGTTCGGAAATTTTGGCCTCAACTCGTGACTATAGGGCGTCTCTGAGTCCATCCAGCTCTTATGTATAGACCTACATGAATCGCGTTATAAAAATTAAAGACGGCTGGACGTAATGCTGAAACGCTATTCCTTTATATGCTTAGGTCAAGGAACATGAACTATAATGCATTTGTCTTATTGTTTGCTAGGTCTGAAAGAGAAACTGTACTATGTAACAATCAGAAATGTGAATTTTATTTCCGTTTTTTAGCCCAAAAAAATTTGTGTTACGTTTTTAAAATATTTTAATTTATATATTTATATTCCCCCTACCCTAAATAAACTTTATCATTGCATTAACTCGTGATATTTCTCCCCAGATACTTCTAAGCTACGCCGATGCCGCCCACTTGACTAAACTCCGAAGGGACGAAGAGCGTAAGATCATCCTAGCCCAGGCTCAAGTCCGCGGCTACCTAGTCCGGAGCCGGAGCAAAAAGCTACAGCAGCAGCAGGAGCAGGATCTGCACTGCTCCACGCCAAAGTCTCTCGACCAGCTGGGCATCATGAGGAAAAAGTTTGAAAAGCTCTTCGATCAGTCCCCGACCTCAACCATCTCCACCCGCAGTGGTAATAGCCCCTCCAACACCCTGTTGAAGAAACGGAAGGAAGACTATGAGAACAAGGTGTTCGACGCTCTCAAGAAGAACCAGAAGAGCTACGATGATCAGCTGAGGAAGACGCTCAGCAAACTGGAGAAACCGGATTTAAAGGTGAGGGTTATATCCCCTGATTCTATTTCAACATATCCGCCTCTGTTTTTCCTGTATCTAGTAGTAATAATAATAGCCATCGGATTTTTTTTAGCTTTATTTTATTTTATATATAGATGGCCTGTCTTTCAGCTTCATCTTCTATCAGTATATAAGGCCAGAGATTTATGGTCAATTGTTTATTTATTTTTTTCATTTTTTCTCTTTCACTATTTTTATTTCATCTACGTGATTTCTACTGCTACGTATACTCAGTCTGTTTGTCTTATTGTTTGTTTATATTAGGATTTGGCAATTTTATTTCTTTACATATAAGGAGGAATACACTGGAATTTATTTACCTTATATTCTGTTTTTTTTTTAACCCGTCATTCCTTTGTTGCCATCACACTAATGATGTGTTAACTTTAGTGTTGAGTCTTTCGAATGGAATACATTTAAAGTAACAATTACTTAATATAGCTGTCTGATTTTTCGGTCGTAAACCTCAAGCCAAATATTGTTTAATCGCAGTACATATGATGTGTTTTTATTCCGACTTCTTCTTCGTTCTTAATTTTAGTGTTGGAAGGGATCCCTTCCGACTTAAGCACGGAGTTGCTAGAGAATGTATGTGTTATTTTTTTTTTGAGGGGGTGGGGGGGTGGGGTGGCTTTTTATTATGAAGTAAATGTTAAAAGTTGTGCACGCTTCTCTAATAATTTAAAACTAATCTCGCCCAGCTGGCTAAGATTGTTCAATTAACTTTCTGATTTACGATTGTGATTTTCGTTCGGGCGCTGTTGTTGAACTTCAGCAAACCCAAGTTAACCGCCAACTGCACCTAGGGTGGTATTGCACCTGTTTTTGCACTTACCTGCAGTGCACTCACCTGCAATAGCCAACTGTTTGCAGAAGTCATTTGTTCTTGAGGTACGGGCAAACACACGCCCCACCCCTGCGCATTGACCCACGACTTTTAGCACGGGGGTCAAACGTTGATACACCTGAGTCGTGTGACGTCACGCTGTCGTTTGCTTACCAGTGACGACATCGTTTTGAACAAACCTTTACACACATGTGCTGGTAATGGAGGGGTTGGGGGGGGGGGAGGAAGCGGGTATTTTTTTTTTAATTAACTCTGTTAAAATTTCTACCCTCTCCATTTACACAAGAGTTTAACAAATTATTCATGGGTCTTACATCAATGTTGTAAGCTTCCCACAGGAAAAACTAAAATACTGTTATACATCACGTGACTGGACACAAGTTTGACAAATATGACACGTAGAGTTCCTGTTACTGTGACCTCGGCATTTTATGACGCCTTTCCCCCATGAGTCTAGCACCATCAGAGCTGCGGTAGAATTTAACACGTGACCAGATTTTTTTCTCCGGCGCTGCACTTGAAATTTTCGGGGGGGGGGGGGGGGCGGACACTGTCAAAAGTATATATTTTCTATATAATTTCCATTTCGTTCGGGGGGCGAAGAGATGCCTGGAAGAACTCTGATTCGAACTCGTGACTTTTGAATTTGTTACCGTGGGCTCCATCACTTGACCATGACGTTCATTCCAAACAATAAAACGTGTTTTTATATTCAATTTTTTTTAGATTTTATAGTTTTTATATTTTTATATTTTCTATCCCAGCTCCACTAGTCATTTCATTTTTTTTTTCCGACTTTAATCAGGTACTTTAAGAGTTGAGTAAATTGTAACATGTTAAAATATTTAATTTTTCTTTTGAAATTCCATTTTTTTATTTTTTTTTAAATATATATCGTAATAACGATTACGTGTTGTTAATTAATGAACCGACACGCCCCCCCCCCCTTTACACAAGACCGTTACGACTTCTTGACCTGGCATGGGTAATCTGCGAACTTGGCTGACTCGCCTCCCATAAACCCTCGGTATTTGCCCACATCTGGGAATAAAAAAATCTTCCAAACCATGTTTTCTCGCGCCGGCTTAGACCGACTTTAAGTCTTTTTCGGGTCTGGACAACAATCTTCAGAGCAAAGTTCACGCTGACCTCTCATGGTGAGCTGACCCTGTATGGGGTCATGGGTTAAGTGCAGACTTGTGCATCATGTGACGTATAAAAGTACTTTAGTGGCTATTTTGTTTAATTAATTCATCATGATTAATAGCAAAATTTAATAAACAATGATTTTTCGGACAAAAAGTTTAAAAATATAGAAATTATAAAAAAAAATTAAATAGTAGCAAAGATGAAGCAAATAGTATAAAGTTAGAGTTTGGTAGAAGTGGTAAAAATAAATGCCAACTACTGGCTAGTGATTGCAATAGTTTTCACAATACAACTGTATAATTATAAGATAACGTTATCGCTCGCAATTTACTATCTAGAACATGTCAGGAAACATGACTTTGGAGTGCTGACTTTCGTCAGGAAACATGACTTTGGAGTGCTGACTTTAGTTTTAGACCTGACTTTAATCCTTCTGGACAACGACTAGACAACAGTGGCCATTTATAGTTTATGTGTGGCTCTGTAACAATATTACCTACCAATAATTTATATGTGGCCATGCAACAATATTGGCCACCTATAATTTATATGTGGCCATGCAACAATATGGGCCACCAATAATTTATATGTGGCCATGCAACAATATTGGCCAGCTATAATTTATATGTGACCATGCAACAATATGGGCCACCAATAATTTATATGTGGCCATGTAACAATATTGGCCACGTATAATTTACTTGCGGCTCCATGAATTAAGCCGTGCATCAGACATGGGTCGATCGTGTGTACTAGCACTTAAACCCGTCTTTGTACGGTCAACGAAACAGAGTATCCGAAACGTGAGCTGACTAGTTCTGTTTGAGGTTCACCTTTTATCTCGGTAACTGTTTTAATCAAAACAATATTTGAGGATGTTTCCAATGTATTGGCTTGACAATGTGTTCTTCTGGTACTATAGTTTTTAAAAATATAAAGCATTTTTGTTTTTCAAATTTAGTTTTTGCGGATTTCCGAGTACAAAAACAGTTTCAAGAAGATAGGGGGGATGGGTTGTGGGAGGCATAATGGGGAGGGGATTGTTGGAGGAACCACGAATAAAATGTAAAACAAAGTCACATGACACAAGCGGATCAAGACACGTGCCTTGCATACCGGAAGTGCGCAGAAGCTATTCTAGAAATGTGCTGCAGCCTTGAGGGCGCATTCCCTCCCATTCCCTCCCATTCCCTCCCATTCCCTGGGAGGTTCAACTAATGGTGAGCATGCCAGTCACGTGATTTAGGTAAGGGCCAGCCACCTCCCGTGCAGAATGTTGCGTCCAATGCTGGAGGAAGGGGCGAGTGTTGTCAGTTCTTTGAAAAACTTGAGGAATTTAGGTCCAACGCCTGTTATAGAACTGGTTGCCAAGATCATCAAGTACATTAGGTACCGTTACACCTGTAATCAGCTTTATAAAGCAAGTTTTAAATATATGGCTGCAAAGTTAATATTCTGTAAAACATAATTAAAATAGTTGTGTGGCCGTTTATTTTAGATTTGTCCCTTTAAATTTTTTTTAAAATGAATACACGTATGATGTCTTTATATTTTTGTTATATTTTCATTTTAGAACAATTATTTATATTCTTTAAAACATTAGATTACGAAAATTTTACTCGTTTTTTACACACACACAAATAAATACTCCGGTTAAATTAATGAACGAAACAGCAACTCATGGAATTAATCACAACTAGGAGACAGATTGATTTATACAAAAATTATCTTTGTAAAAAGCAAGAAAGCGAATACATCGGTCGTAGCAATTTAGTAAAATGTTGACAAAATAACTCACGAAGACCGAAGACTATGCTTACAAGGGAAAAGATAACTCATCTGTTTCTTGTGTCTGCTTGTATGGGCAGCGATAACCCTATAATTCTTTACCCTTGATACATTGCGCAATGCCCAGGTTGTGTTTGGTGATATAAACGGCGTTGTTTCATTTCTCTAAACCCCCTCCCACACCCACCCCCTTGAAGCACCATCATACAGTGTCACAAAATGTCAAACTCCCTTATTTTAAATGACATCACACTTCAGTCTACATCAGTTGGGTCACGATATACAAGGACCATTTTAACAATGTCATATAAAAAAAATATTTTTTTTAAGTTTTGAAATAAGTGCTAAAATTAATTAATAAGATTAGTATTACTTTAATTGTAATTACCAGACGATGAAGCAATGCAAGCACGTCATACATGTTTGATCTCAAACTAGTCTGGTTATAATAGAACATTTTATGTTCTACTTCAACTTTTCTGTGAAAAAAGGCTTATATGCCTACTATTGTATCAAAACGAAATGTTACTTTGTTTGCTAGTCTTAAAATCTCAATACCTAGACAGCATTGAACCGAGTCCACCCAACGTAAACAATAGAGAAGTGCTTACAGTTAACCAAGCACACATTGGATTCATCATGTCCACCTATTGTTCAAACTTTTAACGGTTTTCTAGCCTGCCCAATCAAAAACACGAGCAGTATTTTATTTAACAGCATAATTATACAAGATCAATCTCTTAGGCTAATTTTGATGGCGTCAGGATATTGCCAACGCCCCCCCCCCCCACACACACACACATACAAACATACACACATAAAAAATGAAAAAATAATCTGTCTATAATCGGTTGCAAGAATGTATTGCCGATCTTCACAATGTCCAGAATTTATTTCTAGTACATTCCAATCCCAATTAGCTCCGCAAATGTGGAGAGAGAAAAAAAAACTTAGACATCGCGGATTCTCAGACGTTGAATAAACACATCATCCCCTTATTTTTTTCTCCCTACATCCCCTCTTCCCGATAGGGGTTTCTGCTTCATCTAGCAGAAACAGCTACGTTGCATAGCTGTTATTCTTGCCTGCCCGATTCGAATCGCCTGTCGGGATTACTGGAAGAGCCGTATACTCAAAGGCCTCGGGGGTGTCAATATTGATAGGCAAACAAAGGAGCTCTTTTGGTGTTGTCCCC